AAAAAAATAAGAAATCAACAAGGGGGCCAACACTTTTTCACACCACTGTATATGTATATAATATATATACACATACACATTGTTAGCAACACGGTCAAGTTGAAAAATACACCGTTTCCATCTAATAAATTAATCAACCTTTAATTTGTTTTAACTTACCTTGAACACTTTGGGACACACCCAGTGTCATTTGTAAATGAGAACAAATGGTCTCCAGACAGACCTGGAACTGCTTATCACAGTTACTTTTCTCTCTTCCACAGGTATCATAGCACAGATCGTGCTCATTACAGCATCTGGTCATTGATGGGAGCCCAATATCAAACTGCAGTCAAACAACACAAGTCAGAGGCAGAGAGAATATTAAAAGAATAAGCAGTATTCAAATTAGAGAAGCAATCAATTTATATCTCCAAATACATATTACTGAAACCCACAATTCAGCAATATGAGTAATAGCTTTTCTCTCTTCACCTGAAATCCAAACAGTGGGGAGCCGCATCCGTTGGGTGGAGGTGATTTGTAGCTGGGACGAGGAACTGGTGTGTATCCTAAAAAGAGCCAAATCCCATGACCAATTAAACCCAATGATGAAGACAGAAGAAATTCTTATGTTCAAACCGACCTACCATCATTGCACTTAAAGATACAGCGTCCGTCTGAACCTCCGACCAGGTCTAAAGCCATGTTAAGGTATTTGTCTATTTTTTGAAACCCGTTCCGGATGGATTTTAGAGTCTTTCTCCAGTCTGGAGGCTTAATTTCTTCAGTAAACTCATCGGCTTTAGTCACATGAATCAGTATCCCAACAGAGAGCAGCAGTGTAACGCGGATGACACGACAGGGCATAGTTCAACAAATCCCACTTTGACAGGCTAACTCTAGAGTCTATCGGTAAAGTATTTGTTTTATTTACGTTTCCAAAAAGAGAACCCGCATGATTAAATAGATATGTTAATAATAAGGTTGTTATTACTAATAGAAATAGTTCATAATATATAAGTAATATTAAACCAAGTCCACGTCGGCGAAAGCACCGGCTTCTTGTTGATAAATGAGCGAAGTTCTTCTTCTACTACTTTTCTATTGCATGAAGTTTGGCACACTTACTCGAGGTGCATCTCCGCCACCTACTGGACATAAGTACATAGATACATAAATCAAATAAAGACGATGAAGAAAAAAACACTAGAACAACGAT